CGCAGGAACCGGGCGCGTGCCCGGTGCGCGACTGCGGAGGAGGTGACGGGTGGGTGGTGGCTCGTGTGCGCTCAGCCTGACACTTGGTGTCACTTCAGCAGTTGAGAGCAACTTGCGGTTTTTGAGTAAGATTCCTATCTGCTAAGCACTAAAATATCCTTGTCAACCCGTCTCTCCTCTGTGACGAGTATCTTTCGGTGTGAAAACACTCCTGTCTTCATTTAACTTTCTTCTACCTTGTTTTTTTTTTATTTCAGGGAAGTTACTTAGCACATACCCAGGGGAAGAAGCATCAGACCAATTTGTAAGTCGGTCTCTGCTGTGGATTTCTCCTCCGAAACCGGCAGCACTTCAGAGAGATGCTTGTGGGCACCTGTAAATCTGGAACGCAGCAGCGCACTGGGCTTGGATGCTCCTTCGCTGCGTTTGTTTTGTAGTGAACAGCCGGGCACCAGGCAGGGAGTACGGACTGGACTGACCCCTAGAAATGATGCTGGGGAGCTCCATGTTGAGCTTGAGTTCAAAGTCAAATACGGAATTTGTGAAGGAAGGCAGAGAAAGAGTTTTAAAAGCAGATGATCAGAGTCTAGTTAAAAGGACCTGGGTGTGTGAGTACGGACTGGGAGAAATTTGTGAGCTTTATTGTAAGGAATCCGGTTTGCTTTGGTCTAGATGACTGGTTTGTGGAGATTTTCCTTTTTTATTTCAAGAAGGAAGTTTCTCAAATCCCATCTGTGGAGGGGGGCACCAAGGTAATCGCGGGAGTGGATAAAATAAGTGAGGTGACCGCCTTTGGGCAGGGGAAGGCACGGGTACAACCGGCCTCTCGGGGTGCACGTGGGAGAGAAACAGCCGCTTTTCCTGGCGTGCTTTTTGTGCCGACGGGCCCAACGTTCCGCGATGAGGGATTCAAACCGCTCCGGGAGCGTCCTTTAGAAACCGAGGTGCCTGACCTTTTTAAATTTGCCACTTCTCATCTGAATGCAGGGCCCGACGAGCTGCCAAGGAAGCTAAGGAAGCCCCTGCCCAGCCCGCGCCGGAAAAGGTCAAAGTGGAAGTGAAGAAATTTGTGAAAATCGGACGACCGGGTTATAAAGGTGGGTCCGGGGAGGGGTCTGTCACTGCCTGAAGTGCAGCGCTGTGGGTGTGAATTATTAATTAGTCGTTTTAGCAGATCTGCCCATGAATAAGAGATGAGCTTATCTCCTGACATCCTTTATTGTTTCAGTTACCCAGGGTTCATCTCTAGATTGCTGGCAGCCGAGCGAAAACCATTTTAATAATAGATCCGTGCGCCTCAGCCTTTCGGCTCCTGTTAGTCACGCAGGAGATGATGACGTTGTTTCAGTCTCTCCTTCTCTTTTTATTCTGTTGCCTTTTGCTAACGCTCATAAATCACTCCTTGCACGTAGAGCTCAAGGTTTTTCTTCTGAACTGGTTGTTACTTTTGGTTTTCACTACCCAACTTGACTTCTTTATCTCCCGGCTTCATTGTGCCGGTGCCCCGCAGCAGCTGAATTTCAGGAGCGGTTCCGTGAAAAACAGTGTGGAGTTTTGTTTGATAAATGGGAGGAGAACCTGGCGATACATTGTTGTGAGCTTTGTGCTTTTCCTAGGACAGAAATACCCTTGGTGTAACCTTGCTCTCTGATGTTCTGAGCTTCCTTGTTTGCTTTACAGTGACCAAACAGAGAGATCCAGAAACAGGTCAGCAGAGCCTTCTCTTCCAGGTAAGGGCACTGTTGAAATTCTTGGTGTCTGGGTTATCCAAGGAAAAGTGCTGTGAAACAAACAGTTCTTTGCAGGATTCATGAAATAAATAATTGTCTTTTTTTAAAAAAAGGCCTTACCTTGCTAGTCTTCTGCTGATTTAGTCAGGTGAGTCCATGATCAGAGCTGTAAATCATAGGATCATAGAGTGTCAGGGGTTGGAAGGGACTCTAGAGATGATCCAGTGCCACCCCCTGCCAGAGCAGGGTCACCCAGGGCAGCCCCACAGGAACGTGTCCAGGCGGGTTGGAAAGTCTCCAGAGCAGGAGAGATGTTCAAGTCCCTTCATCATCCTCGAAGCTCTCCGTTGGACTCTACGAGTCCAACGGAGAGCTTCGAGGATGATGAAGGGAGTAGGTCCCTTCCCCTTGACCCCCACCCCTCAGATATTTCTGTACTTTCTGCACGTAGCCTTGAATTTTCTGTTCAGAACTGATCTTTTGCTACACTTTGTAGTCAAGGGGTTTGTTTCATACAAAGGGGGATTGAGAAGGGGCCGTTTTCTTTAACGCTGCTGCGATACCCCGACAGATCGATTACCCGGAGATCGCGGAGAGCATCATGCCTCGGCACCGGTTCATGTCAGCCTACGAGCAACGGATTGAGCCCCCCGACAGGCGCTGGCAGTACCTGCTGATGGCAGCCGAGCCCTACGAGACCATCGCCTTCAAGGTAAGATTTAGGATTCACCGAATGTTGGGAGAGTTCCCTTCCCGTGCTTTCCGAGCTGTTAATTCCCAGTGAATATTATAAACTTCTACCTTTCCGGGGGTTAATGGGTTGAAAAGGGGCGTCAGGAAGACGTGACTGGAAGTCATTAAACCCCAAGGAGAATTAGGAGGACTCTGGCATGAAAACTAGGCCGTGTGCTGAGCTCTGGGGAGCCGCTGAATTCTCTGTGTCTGGCCCAGAAAGGAGCCTTCTGGGCTTTGCTCCTCAGCCTTCGTGCAGATGTTGAGGGAGGGTTTTTTGCCAGCGCACTTGTCCTTGACCGATAGGGAAGTAACTTAATTCTTTCCTGCCCCTGTCTCTAACTAATAACATCTGAGACGAGTGCATGTCACAAAGGCCTGGAATAACTGCTTATCTCGCAGGCTCTGGGGCTAAAAAGGGCCTTTGAGCTGATCTGGTGGTGCTAATAATAGCTCCTTGTTCTTTTTTTGGTGTTGTTGCTGCAGGTGCCAAGCAGAGAAATCGACAAAGCAGAGGGCAAGTTTTGGACCCACTGGAACAGGGAAACCAAACAGGTAGCTGCGACGCTGGCTCACCTTTCCTAAGGAGTAGAGAAGAAGCAGGAGGGCAAAGTGGTCTGGGGGGAAAAGAGTTGGCTAAAATCTTCATTCCTTCAGCAAAGGCTCCTCCTGAGAGAAAGATGTTACAGTGTGTGATCTTGGTGAGAGTTTAACGAGGGAGGTAGAATCCTCGGTGCAGGAACGCGCCCTCTCCGTGGCTCCTGACTGCCATGAGCCCGCGGCGCTGGCGCAGGGGACACACGTAGAGCAGGGGATAGTGACCCCGTCACAGGTAGCTGAGCACCAGGAATGGGTTTCAGAGGAGTTGCAGTACTGGGAGTACTGGTGCGATGGGCCGGGCGGCGATGGCAGCCGCGATCTGGGAAGGGAAGGGGTCGGGAGGGATCTGAGCTGTTCCTGGAGGCAGAGAGTGTGGTCGGAGCAGCTCCGTCGTGTGACAGCACAAAGTCATCCTGCAGGTTAACTGGTTTTTTTTTTCACTTTTCCTCCCCTCCCAAGTTCTTCCTTCAATTCCACTTCAAGATGG